AATGACTACCAACAATTGGTAGCCGTATACATTGTTGGTTTTGCTGTGGCATTTGATTCCGTACATGTACCAGACCTGTTGATGCTACTTTAAGGCTTCAGTAATTGTCTCCAAGAATCTCCCCTAAACTTCCCACATTCGGTTGAATCCTCCTATGCATCTTATTTACTATGGATTCTCGGAAATGCTCTAATATGTTTTTGACGATGTCAATATAACCCTCTTAGCTCCAAGATTTGGTTATCTACATAGCGCGGGGTTGCGGAGAATTGGTTCCCTAAATCAGTCGACTTATCGGTAAATACTAGAAATATCAAAATGTTCTCGAATCACATTCTTGATTCGGAGAAGGTATATCTGGAGGTTCATGGCTGTCAACTTGTAGACGTGAACAGTTCCACGTATCTTGGAGCGAAGTTTGGACCAAAATAACAAAGTGGCAACGGAATAAATGTCAGATTCTATGCTGCTCGCAAGGTAATTATTATGACCTATATTAAACTAAGCCATTTCAAGTACAAGTTGCTATTTTTAAAACCCGTGCAGAAAACTGACGGATTTGAAAATAAAGAGGACATTTAAAGTGGTGGTCTTGTGATTATGGCGCAAACTATACGGTTAAGTCATTGAGCCTTAAACCAAGGCCTCCGCATACCTTCGGTGTGCTCAGAATCCAAAGTGGGCTCCGGTTTGTCCTCCAACTTTGGTTTGACATCTTTAGGAGATCCCGCGACGGGAGAACCACTACTTTTATTCGCATCCGAAGCTTCATTCTCATTATCGCTCACCCCCACCCACTCCTGGGAGGCAGAGAGTTGCTCAGGCTCGTGAACTTTCGTAGAGGCATCTTTTGATGCGAGCAAGTCCTTGGCCTTTTGTAGGTCCTGCTTCAACTTTCGTTCCTCGCCATCATCGGAATCGAAGTCCGAATCTTCCTCTCCTTCCTCGCTTTTTGCGCCACTTTTTTCAGCGCTGCAGGTCTGAAATTAGAGGCACGAGTAAATTGTGAAACTTTTTGAAACAATAGTGTCGTCGGGTAGGATCCCTCTTTACCATAAGCATAAGAATGGGGATATTTTGGGCGTGATAGATACTCGTAAGTACAAATTAAACGGAAAAAACAAACCGAAGGAAAGAATTAAAAGTGCGGATTGCACATCCTGAAAGTGAGCATTAAGAGCGATTCATCGCCAGAGTAGCCATGATAAGGATACATAAAAAATTAAAGCTAACCTTCGGTTCTGGACTCCTTTCCGGTTCCTGGAATGACAAAACTTCGTCACCGGAATCTTTGTCCATGTGGTCGAGAACAGCCAAATCTTCATCTGTGCCGCCACTCAATTTGATGACAACGGCATCCATCAATTTAATAAGTTGATCGCTGTTGTCCATCTGGACTGCCTGGTTGTCGATCATGCCTTTGTCGAAGAGATCCAGAAATACGTCCAATCGATGGCGAATATTTCTAGCCACTTGCTCCCGTTGTATGTCAACATAGTCCGGGTGATATTTCTCTCGAAGCCTATCGGAGTGAGAAAAAGCGGTTCTTGAGAACCCATAGCGTCGGCGTAGGATCTCACAAGGCAATGCTTGTCGAGATCATAAAACTTGAACGGGCTAATATGTGTGATGCACGTATCTGAACTAGTTACTGAGGTCTGAATATGAAATGACAATCTTTCATAAAGCTATTTGGGCCAGCTTCGACGCAGAGTATAAAAATTACAAGACATAAGATTGATGAAAAATCACAAGCACTGTGCAACCAAGGGTCGTAATGTGAAATTACCACTCCTCATTTTTGTGTGCCTCGAAGAACTCCTCTATGTAGCGCTTGTTGAAGGACTCCTTGTATTCTTTGTACTTTTCTATCGCCTCCTCGTCCGTGATTAAGTCATCGAG